TTTCATAACTCACTTAAAAAACAATTAACAAATAAATCGTTTTCCCAAACACAGAGCTCTATGCCGAAAACAATTGCACTTTAACACGCTTCAAATATTCGATGACGCTTGCAATAGCTTTCTCAATGAAAAAGAACACCCTAAACATTCTATTTATAGAAATTTCTATGAAATCTTTAAATCGGCCGGATATGTGACTTTTAGGTATTACTTAGAGTTTTTTTTAAATAAGAAGTTCAATATAATTTTCGTCATTAACGTCATAAAAGTGCACGTTTATGGACATAAATAATATTTTAATAGTATATATAGCACATACATACATACATACCAAAAAAGTTGTTGTCTTTCTAAATTATATTTACCTTCTCCTGCCCTTTTTTAATGTGCCTTGTAAATTTGGGAAGCGGAGGCGTATGAGAAACTTGTATGGTAGTCATGAATATATCGTATTAAGTGTTGCAAAAATGCTGATTTTCCGCCCCAGGCGCTCTTATAAAATTTTTTTTGGCAAAACAAAGGGTTGAATTTCTCAAGATACCAAATAGACATTTATTAGGGAGCTCTTCACGCGACTCATTTTTCAGGCTTGATAACTGAAAATATCCAATTTTCATTTCTTTTTTTCGTCGAAATGCGCAATCGTCGCAAAATTTGACGGTAGTATTATGGTTGTCCACATCGACGTCGATGTAATTTTTTTAAATGGACCACAGTATTTTTTCGTAAAGGTGTTCCTCCTAGGTGCAGTGTTGTATTTTAACCTTATAATAATGATAATAATAATAGGTTTGCACTTACACAACATGATAAGTTGGAAATTAAACGCGATGTAGCTATGCCGTTATCCCTTAAAATGAAAGGAAACAACTCTTCTGGTTGGACTGCTAATGAGGCACCATCTCTTATCAACTTATGCTCTCATAGTACGTCTGGTAAAGGATAAAATTTGATTATGCGCTGCTAAATCGGCTATCTGTCTGTTTTGGCGTCAAAGCATAGTGAAAACCAGTCTTAAGTTTCTTGATATGCTTAGGAAACACTCAATTTTTTTAGCCATACTCGTATAATCATATCTAAATATGTCTGTATGTGCATATGTATGTATGTGCGCTTGTACATCTGTATATTAAACTTATTTAAAGACAACAACAAGCACTGCACTAAAAGTAAACTAGGTAGTGCCCAAAAAAATTACTTAATCACCATTCAGCCAAAATTCACACATCCATCCGTCACCTACACACTAACCACAATGCAAATTTTAATAAATGCACATGCAAGCACACATCCACACAGCCATGCACAGAAATCATATCAATCTCACATAAAAAAAAAGACAAAAACACCTACAAACCCACCATTCCGTGAGTGTGCATACATTTTTGCTTATAGATTTCGTTTCGACATTTTTTAAATCACGAATTTGAGTTAAGTTTTGCTGATTTACGATTTTTGTTAATTTAAAAATAGGCAAAGCAAACGAAAGTATATATTTTTTATATGCCAATATATATAGAAAAAATAATGCTTAAAAAATTTACGCTACTTTAAAATATTAATGCGCTTATAAGTCAATAATTAAATATATTGCTAAAATCCCAATTACTCAAATATGTATGTTTGTATGCCAATTAAAGGAGCTGTTGTTGCTCGATTTTTTGCCTAGTTCTAGTTCTGCATACGCGTTTGTCTTGCGACACGTTTTCATTTAGTTTACATAGACAAGTGTATGTACATATATATTGCAGAAATGCTGCTTATTAAACACACGCCATCCATATCGCGATCTTTTTGGCTAGCAAATGCAAAAAAGATACAGTTAGCCAAAGAATAAAGGAATTAATTTACTAAATTTCACAAAAAAAAAAGCGCTATGTTACTTAGTTCATTACTCATATAAAATATTTCAAAAATAGTTATCTCAAACATTATGTATTGTATTATTATTATTATTATTTGCATTAGAATTCGTTGAGTGTTTGTTAAATAGTTAATACTGTAATTTTAGGGCAGTAAATTTGTTGCCCTCGCCGATTATGCGGCTATGGGACATTCGGAAGTTTCGATGCGCGAAGGAGATACAGTTGAAATGTTGAAGGTGGGCTGTGCTGGCTGGTGGTTTGTGCGTGTTTTAGGTAATTTAAATGCTTTTTTGTTGTCCACTATGTATATGCGTATATAAATATTTTTAAAATATATGTAATTATATGAATTTTTAGCAAGGCTTATATGCAAAGTGTAAAAATGTTACGTGCCTTTCCCCCGTTTGTCACCTCTGTAATGCTTACTTATCACATTTCCCTTGTATATACCATGTACATAAACACCGTACATAAATACCGTATGTATATATCTACATATATATGTAGTTTATGATATGTAGTATATGATTTTGGAAGTAAAAGCCTTACCTCAGTTTAAATCGCAGCCTCGTAGAACTCGCAGCGATGTTACTAGAGATGGTCGCCATAGTGTTGCAATTTTAAAGTTTCCTATACAAAGAGTCTACAAAATTATTTATTTATTTATAGTCATGTCTTTGCACATAAAACAAAAATTGCTAAATTCCAGATAGAAATCACAAATAAGTACGTTCACATGTTTCCAAACAATGTTGCTTTATTAAGTTGAAAGATACAAAAGTAACACAACACTTCTGCTACAAATGCTGCAAAAGCATTTCCTTAGACAGTACTGCCGCTTTTGAAATTGTTTAAGAATAGCTGAGAGGTATATTTCTGTCAGGAATTCGATTTTTTTTTTTCAAATTTTAATATTCAATTTTAATGCTTTAATGCTGAGAATGTTGATGCTAATTAGGCAGTTGCAGCACCCAGTGTTATATAAAGTACGTGCGATATTTATTTTTTCGTAGAGTGTGATTACATTTTCATTTTGATAGGAGCATTATTAAAGATTTGTTTGATTTTTTTTGTTCACAACATCAGCTTGGAGTGAAATTTCTAAAGGGGCGTTTACAATATTAGATTAGAGTTGAGAGTATTTCTATGAGAGTAATAACAGTATTCACTGAAAATTTTGCTCGAATGGGTGTTATTTATGTCACCACAAGTAGCTATTTTAAACTGAAGAATATTTCAAAACATCATTCTCAACCCCGAGCTGGCATTTTAAACGTTCACTAATGATAAAAAAAAATCTCTCGCAAGTACAATACATTTCAAGACTCACCCAAGCTGATACTTTAAGCCCGAACTAATATTGTGAGAAAATAACAAAAAAAAAACGCTCTCACCTGCAAGCTGGCGTTGTAAACTCTCCTTTACATGCGACTACTTGAATGTTATATAGGAAATGATAATGGAGATAGCGATTATGTCGACATTCTCCTTTCAAAGATAGATTTGTTTGTCAAATGAGAGTGTAAAAGTGGTTCTAGAGTAAATTTAGTAGTAGCAGCAACGCCATTGGTCAGCATGAACTCAGTATTAGCTGTGTTGAAGGACAAAGCGAGGATGTTGTTTTCCCTAATGCCAAGAATATGGACAAAAATAATTGAAATCACATAGTTGAAATTTCGAACGAACAAAGAAAAATGAGTATGTGTCACGATCTCTAAGTTCTTGTAACTAAAATTTGTTGCATACTTATAAAATTTAAAAATTTGTTGTTTTCGAACTATTTTGTTAAGTAAACAACTTATGCGGCAACACTGGTATTAGAAAACCTTCGCCACAATATTGATATTTAATTTCAACAGAATTATGTTCAGCAGCAATGCTGCTAGATATAAAGTTGGGGTTTGAGATGCACAAATTTCTCAACCAATTTCCGGGGGTATTTGATTTGAAAAAAATATGCATCCGCCAGCTACGGACACCCAGGAGAATTTTGTAGAGCTGAGAAAAACGAAAGAACATTTCAAGGTTAATTTAAGTACAACACCCAGTTTCCAATGTCCAGCTTTCCGTTATTTAATAAACTGTAACGCAAGCTATCTTTCCTTAGATGGAAATAATAATTTTTTTATGTAAAATCACTTCCATTCTTAACGCTTCTTTTAAGTACATTCAATAGCTAATAATTAGCCAAAAGTAGTTATAAAAAAATTGCTAAATGCCACTTTGAATTTTGTATGGTATGCATGACAAATATAAAATAGTAACTGCATTTGTTTCTCCAAATAAATAACCAATTTGCCATATTTCTTATAAAAAGATT